TAACTGCAAGCTACGGTAAGGTGAATTTCTATTAGAACGAAACACCTGCAATGATATTACACAAAAGGACGAAAACAACGGACAACGAAATATTTGCACAAACACCCTCAATAAACAATTACAGGTTTTACAATAATAACTCAAGTATTTCGGAAATACGAGGTGTTGTAAGAAGACTAACGAGAAAACTCAAACGGTGAGAGTAAAAACATAATATTTCGGATGTGTGTTACTTGTAGGTGAAAATTTCCCAGGAATTAGCAGTTCGCAGGAGGGAGAAAAATCTTTCTTATCCCTTTCTGAGAAAGGGAACACTTTTTTTTTCCTGATCAAGTAATAACTATTGGCCACAATTACAGGACACAGAATAATAAAGTCATGATTGAGTTCCCGCTAGCATGGCATAAAACACTAGAACTAACAGAAGTAATTTAAAAAAAGGAGAAATTTAATTCCAATTAGCATAATAACAAACGGTTCAGGAAAAGGGTAAGAGAACTGGAGGGAATTTTCCAGATGAGCACTCGAACTCGAAGTAGACTCGACGGAAACTAAAAAATAGTGCAAAAAAAGCTTTAAAAATAGAAATCTGGTAGTTTTTGGTCCAGTTTTTTTTTATCGTCAAGAGCGCCAGTTTCTAGATTATCTGCTTAACAATAGTGTAAGCTACTTTCATCACCATTTTCATTAATTCCTATCACGTCTTTTTTCTCATATATTAATTAGTATTTGTTGAAGTTCGAATATCGGTGTAGACGCAGATGTAGTATCTTCTTATCGTGCTTATCTATGTTCATAATCTCTTGAAGCGACTCTAAATATGTAAGTTATATTCGCAAAAAACTTTAAATGCTTATATTAACCGCTTTCACTAGAAACTCGAACTTCTGATAATGTATGAGTTGCTTTCGATCTGATCAGTTATGAATTGACAAAGAACTTATTGCAAACAATAATCATGTCTAAATCGCAGTTTTGGCGGAGTGGCAAGCCTCTTTTGTAAACAATGATAATTGACTTTGTCTTTTCTGGTAATAAATTAAAGGAAACATCCTGTCAGTTTGAAATAAGTAATTTCTATTTTTAAAGGGAGGCAAAAAACAATTTGGAAAAGCAGATAGAAGAGTCAAGGACTTAAGCAGTGAAACAATGAAGTTCTGTGTATGATTTACCTCGCGACTAAGAAAGAAAAGAAAGGTTTATGGTTGACAAATCAGCTTTCAAGACAAGGCCGACCATGGAAGACGAAGGACATATGACTCATAAATATTGTGGTCCTTAATATCAGTGATTATAGTAATATACATCATCACCATCTAATATTGTACGCATCAAGAATTCTTTAAAAGACTTCAACTATTGGTCCACATAAATCCGAGCGTGCAAGAAACCATTTTTAATTACCAAATTAGTAATATTTTTTTATAAAGCTATCTGTTTTTGGCGCAAGCACTGAAGAAATCAAGATGTAATTTCGACTTCTTTCAAACAAAATGGACTTGGTTTGGAATGAAACAAACATCAGTAGTGGGAATCATTCGCCAAATTTAGGCGAAAGATCTGCTGATCACATCATCAGATCAATATGGCTTTCCGTTGTGTTTGCATTTGGAACAGTGGGAAATGTTCTTTTATTTTCGGTGATTTTACGAAAAGGGAGAATCACCAATGTCACTAATTTATTCAACCTGAACCTGGCGATCGCTGATTTGGTCCGGATTTTTCTATTTATACCCGTTTATCTGTTTTATTCTGCATATGATTCATGGCCTGTAGAATTGGATTTGGCAGGCTGTAAAAGTGTATTTCTCATTCTGCAGAACAGCCTTACAGTGTCGATTTTGACGTTGCTGTTTATGAGCATCGAAAGATTCCGGGCTGTTGTGCATCCTTTGAAGAAACAAGTAAGTACATTATAAAAAGGCCCAGTTTAACACTTTATTATAATTCTTGATCAGGGGTATTGCGCAAATCGCGTATTTGATTATGATTCTAGTGCGTTATAAAGTTTTAAATTTTATCAAATATTAATGAAATCAATATTATTAGGGGGCATTGACTGAAAATCACGTTGTACCTTATCGGAACTGCTCGTCATATTTTCTGTAGAAAAAATTGCTCGAAACAATGTGGTTCAAGCATGTGCTTCCTTCCTTCCTTCTTTCTTTCTTTTTTCTAAGCATCTAAAAGCCATAGAGCGTTCACAAATGTTTGGGAGAAGTCGACGGATCCCGTTGTTAAATTGGGTCGCACTACAATGGGTTTGCACAGTGTGGTATATAGTTTAAATTTCCAAAGGTGATAGAATGGATGATTTTTACAGACTAATTCGTTGTAAGTAATAAATGAATTTCTTTCTTGCAGATGTCAATTCGTGTGGCTAGGTGTTTGGTAGTAGTCTCGTGGTTTCTCGGATTCATTGCCAGTGTTTGGTATTCAATCGCAGTCACGCTTGTTACGAACGATGATGGCCACACGCATTGTCAACCTGGCTCAAAAGGGACCTTTGTAACAACTAGTCTTCTTCTATTGATCTTAGGTACACAATGGCTTCCTGGGGCTGCATTCACAATAACTTACATGAGGATCATCTTAAAGCTTCGACGAGATGGGGTTATAAAACCGTCTGATGTTTCCCAAAGCTCTCAAAACCGTCATCGTAGAAACTTGAGAGCTGCACGCATCCTTGTCATCGAGGTTCTTTTCTTTCTTGGTTGTTTGTATCCTTTTTACCACTACAGCCTTGCAACGGCCATGGGAGATGGCGAATCCCCGGGACTTTTGTCTCGAGAGGGCACCGTTATCTTTTGTATGATGATAACTTTTTCGTTGACGAACCCATTCTGTCATATTCTATTAAACAGCGAGTTTAGAGAAGATGTTAGAAGGATTTTTCAGCAGATAAAAAGTGGACTGGGAAACAGAACAATTCGCAATTGGTCAGAGATTCACCTTCCCGGATGGCACGTACATCGTGACAAGGAAACGAGCGGACAAAATGAGGAAAGACATAATACTACCGGCTCAGGAAAATAACTCTGTACAACATCCGTATTTCACCTCCAATTAGATGTAAGAAGGCTGTAAACAAACCTGTTGTAGGTAGCGAATATGTCTAGTGTATCAGAAAAAAGAAACCTTTTTAGAAAAGAAACGTAATCACAATTCAGTCACTTAAAACTTCCACAAGGTTAGAGATCTATACCAAGGTGACATGCCTGCTAGTTTTTGTACATAGCGGTAAGAAGAAGCCTAAATTTCAGACGATAACCACGAGTCGTTTTTACTCCCAACGACTCGAAGTAACCGTCTGAAATTCAGGCTAGGTAGGAAGTTCATTAAAAACAGGCACCGAAATTGATGTAAATTTTAAAAGGAAAATCGAGCGTTTGTTTGGGCACTAGGCCGAGACGATATGCATTGAGAATCACAACTTAGGCTGTACTCTTAAAGAGCTAGTGAAACTAGCACAATGAATAAACCAAACAATTCGTGGATCTTTTTGGGAGAATTTTCGTCGTTGATGTCATCGAGGAGCGTAAACATCAGTGTAGAAAAGTACCATTCGTTCTGAGTGGCGCGTGAATCAGTGGTACTCGTGACTCGCCATTCTGGACTGCTTAAGGTTCTGATATATTGCTAAAACTATAAACTTGTTTTCTCTTGAGAAAGATCTGACGATCTTTTCAGTCAGTGTCACAGGCGGCGGCTCGGAAGAAAAATACGAGTCAGACTCCCAACAGGAGTGGACTCTATGCGAACCACCTTCTGGTCACTATAGTCTAGATGGAAGTTACTTGTGAGGACTACGGCCAATAAAATAGGTTCGAGTGACAAATATACCCTACATACGGCTAGGACCAAAATGTTGAATACATGAAAAAAGATACTTTTTCAGTCAGTGAAACAGGCGCCTCGGAAAAAGGGGTGGGGGCATCCTTATAACTGAACAATGTTTGTGTTGTGGTTGGAATATAATCTTCGCTCAAATTATGTTTCATTTGTTTAAAAGTCAGTATCATACACTACCCTACCCTAAAACAGACGGAGCTAATTTTTTCGCTGAGGGTAACGGTAAACCACAGCATGCACAAGACGAACTCAATGAAGTTCTCTAAGACCTGGGTTAAACGCCATACTTTTCCTGTGCCAAGCTGTGTAAAGAAGGGGTAATCCGCGAAAATTAAGGACAAAACCCAGGAGACCAAAAAGATTTGTAGGTACAAACTCACAAGTGCATTTCTTGTCGACAGTAGTTCTATCCCCTTTTCCAAAAGGAAATGGTATAATAGCCCTTCCCTCCCCATATTCCACCAAGTGCTTTGTTTTACCTTCTCTCCAGTCTCTCATTTGCAGAGGAACGAGCAGTTTTCAAAAAAAAAAAGTGACGCCCCTTAAATTGAGTTGTTCGTTTTCACGAATGGACCAATATCACACAACTGATGGAACCCCAAGCAATATGAGAGCGTTTTTAGGATTTGGGCCTCGAGATCAGGAGACAAAATATGGCCCTGAAAGGGTCAACTGCGCGATCAGACCTATTAATCGAAAGGATAAAAGAATATAATTTTTTTATTTCGTTTAATATGCTAACAAAACCACAATCACATCAAGATACTGATTTTCCTATGAACTACAACAGGATGCTGATTATTAGAATTGTACAGATCTGATCCAGTGGAAGCTATCCTAACGGACACTGTCGTGAGCAGACAGCTCTACTCAAAGCCGTCTTCACAAAACTCTCTTTTACTCAACTTCCATACAAACTCTGTATTGTTACATTCGCGTAACCGGCCAGCTCCTCCGGTACGGACACCTTTTTCACGTCCCGAGTGTGTCCGCTTAAGAGAGCTTCCACTGCATTTGTGTTATGCATATATAAAATTATTTACATCAAACAATTCAATAAGAACTCATTTTCACATTCAAAGTTTGCATTTGACCTCGTTTTGAAAGGAATTGTGTCTGGACCTCGAGGATGAATTATTGTCCAAATTTTATCCGGTATGCGCCGTAAAGGCATGCGCAGAAGTGAAGTGATTTGTCTGAAATCCATTGGTCGGGTGATTAGAAATCGGACTAATTGGAATCATGTTCTCCGATTGGCTACTTACACCACTGGCTGTGCATGGTGAAAACGGCGATACCCCTGAATGAAATACATGGCTGAAAGTCCCATATGTTTCTGTAGCTGCGCAGTAAGGATTTATTTGATACTGACTGGTTACCATAGCTCCGTGTGGGATGGACGATAAACACGCATGTCCGTTATAGCCAGTGAAAGCATTATTTGAGGTACATGTTGGTGAGGTTTGTGGTGACAGAGTTGGACTGATAGGAGGAACACTCTGATATGGAGATGCTACCGCTGCATGTTGAGAACAAGGGCTTTGATCTACAACAATAAAATTATGGCTTGTGAAACTTTAAACAGACCATCCTTTTACTAAAACAAAAGGATTGAAAGCTGTCAAGCCTTTTAGCGGAATATCCGTTTTTATTATAACGAGGTTAGAAATTCAGTACTTTTAACATAAAACAAGGGGAAAGTCTACTGTGGACGATCAGATGCCCAAAGTTGAAGTAGATTAGTAACCCATGAACTGTACAATAGCTTTTCAATTATACTTGGCTCGAGATATTGTCTCTCACAGTTAACTTCGAATCCAAGTGCTAAAGTAAATAGCAAAATCATGACTAATTCCCGATACTCTTATTTGCTAATGCCAAGCAATTTCCCAACTCATTTTGTTAGAGAATAAAAGACTGGGTATACAGTAAGGCGCTATCGGACATAGCTGGAAATGGCGCTGAATAAATAAAGTATTATTATTATGAGGATGAGTTTTTGCTCGAATTGTGTAAATTTTCAGTTGAGTTGAAAATAATCTTCTTGTAGGATATTATAATTTTGAGCTGAAGTTATCATTTGTTCATTTTTTTATTATTATTGTTTACGGTGATGCCTTTCCATCGTTCTATTAGCCTGCGAATATAGCCGTTTCTCCTTGCTCCTCGCTGTTAAGGACGTTTCGCCCCTCACGTCTAGAAAAGACCAGATCTGTTCATCCCTAGCCGCCATAAGCCTCTGAAACTACAGGACTGCTTAAAATAGACTGACAGTAGTAGGTAGATAATCCTCCTCACTTACCTTGACTAAGCTGTTCATCTCTTCCGAAATTTGAATACACAAGAGCTCTTGCAGGAGGTCTGTAGTAAGCTGAAGCAGCCGAGTAAGCTTGCATTATCTCTTCCATGGGATCTCTGTTAATCAATTTAAAACACTTCAACTAAATCGATGCCGAATCTTATTTTTGGGACCCTGCCACCATCTAAAGCTTTGATAATAAAATATTTCATTGAAATCTCTTAAACTAAAACCATGCCAACTTCTATTTTGGGAAGCTATCAAAATAACATCTTAAGTATACTTTGTACTAACTATATCGAAAAAAAAAAAAGCGTTTAGGCATATAGGTATAGATACTTGGATATCGCACATTAAATATTTTTCTAAATTGGAATATTCTGAATAAATATACTGAGATAATACCAATAACAGAAATAAGTAGTACGAAAGGCATAGCTTTTTAATTGATTTCTTTCTTTCACCAAGGGAATCCTTCGAGAAAAATAAAAAACCTGAATTTCTAGAGTTTCTCCTGTGCGATATATTATTCAAGATACATCAGACGTGTCTAAACTAGATACGTTCCCTTTTGGTTGCTTCTAAATATGAGGGGGACATGGGTGTTTACGGTATTACGTTATTGAGCTTTCTTTCAAGCGGTATTTTGGTAATTTTGATTTTAATGTGCGGTATTGCGGTATCATCCAGCCCTGTGGTATGCGGTTTTTCATCTTTCTGGGTAACGGTATTCGGTAAAAGAAGATCCTTCACGGTATTGCGGTACTGTTCATTTGGCCTCTCCTGTCTAATGTACGTGAATATTTGAGAGACTTTAGACTTAACGGTAAATGAATACACAATTTCTGACGGTTACTCTATGATGAAATTCAATAACCTGGCTTTTCGATCATTGTACCGATCAATTCGAGAGCTCCCGTTTTCCCGCGAAGGCTGAGGTTGATTTCTGGTGTATACATGCTTGAGATAAAAAACACGCGAGATGGATACAACGTTAAGTAAGCATGACCAATCATAAATGCGGTATTCAGATATTTCGTCGATTGTCGACACGGTATTTCGGTATTTGCCAATTTTTCTTACGGTATAGCGGTATTGAGTAACCCCCAATGTCCCCCTCAAATAACTTTACCACTGTCCTCTCACCTTACTCTACCAGAATCTCGGAACCCTTTAGCAAAAGGGTTAGAGTCAATCTTCAAACGAGTTATCTGAAATAAAGACACCAGAATACTATGTTAATTTACATGACTTACTAGGCAGAATTCAAGATACGCGACCCTCTTTCCAGACTGAGTGCGAATCGTGTATAAAACGTTTTGTTGAAAAAAAAAAATTCGGCACACACCATTTGTCGCAAATGTTTTAAAATGTTTAGTTTCAGAGGCTATTTCAATTTTTGTTTAACCGAAATTCGTTCCTGAGATTCATTTCCAAAGAGACCGATCACAACCGGTCAACTTTTAATAAAAATGTACAAATCAAAGATTTGAACTGAAAATTACTGATTTAATTAGCATTTTATTCCCAAACATGAAGGCACAAAGAATACGGATGACAATACTATGGCTCAATAATCACTGTTCAGACAGTTTACATTATCTTTGTTTTGAACCAAGATTGCAAAAATAGCGCATGCGTTTTTAAAGTTGTCCCTTTTTCCAGATTCTTTTCCATGTATTTAGAACACGACGTGACTTGAAATAACACTATGACTGTCACTCACTAGGCGGCGAAGATACAAATAAGATCTAATTGAGATCATTATAAAACGTCTAGATGCAAAACGTTTCCGAGTTCAAAGGAACCGTTTTCATTATCGGCGCGTCGACTGCGCAATCAGCAAGTAAGTGATATGCAACGAACTGTTGAGAATGCTAACAATTTCAGTCAAAGAATATTTACTGAGAGTGAATTATAAAAACATATTGTTAGCGCCTTTAAAAGGACAACATCCTGTCCGCCTTGCGCGGAGTTGTTATTTTAATTCTTTCACCAGGTTTTTGAGCTTTTAATAGCCGACAGTAAGTGTAGTTAAGAGTCATTTTAAACGGCAAAAACATATAAGTAAATAAAGTTGGTGTATTCAGCTCCAGCAATTTCGGAGAAAAGAAACAACAGACAAAATGTATATACAGGGAACTGCCCACACAAGAGTGAATATTTAATGGGAAAAACAGAAATCTTACTCAAATCGCTTAGAAAAAGGAATGTTCAATTTCCTTGTCACAGCCGTCGGCGTTATTTGCTTGCAAGTGGACGGCAAAGTGATGCCAAAAAAAGCCGAAAATGGACCGTTTAATTACTTAAAACTTCGCTTTTAAATAAACAATACCGCTGGCTATGCAAGTTATTTTTGTCTATTTTTTAAATCCCTCGAGATCGATTATTTTAGTTATTGTCGGTTTTAAGCCCTCTTTCTGTCCCGAGATGTCGGCTGAGGTAATAAAGAGGGTCAAGGTAGCTTTTTAATGGGCCTTTTTCTCTGTTTATACCATATATTTTTGCAATTAGTAGCAAAATAGAGCCGACACCTGTCAAGCTGTGATCATTAGTTATATACTGATTAAGGCGACTGATCATGAATAATTGCAGCTTTTTGTGGGTAAAGCTCTCTGTAGTCGAAAATATAAAGTCATTTAATGCTCATCACGGAGGATTGCCAGTCCCAGACTTCCTAATAATACGGATATTAGAAGGATAGAGTTAAGTGTTCGCATTAAAGAGATGAGAAATAGTGAAGTATTGTATCTTGACCAATAATCTGTTCTTAATATAATAGAGTGGTGTCCAATATAGGCTGAGAGGTTAGACTTTATATTACTGATTCTCTTTTTATTTTCTAGTAACAGTAACAGTATTTGGACTTGATACAACCTTAGCACCGGTAACACTGACAGGACCGTGGTTTAAGTCTCCTGGCACTGATTCATCCTCGCAAAGGGGTAACGATCGAAACACCAGCTAAAAAATCCCTTTTAAGATGACCGTTAATTCAATTATTCGACCCTATTTAACTAACTCTACGCAAATTTAATTAACAAAACGCAAAAAGCGTCGAGTTTCTGTTTGGGACGGTGATGTACTATAACCTCAGTATCAGGCTTTTCTTAGGGGATCACGAAAAGGAGATTTGAAAAGACGAATTGAGAAAAGAGAGTGGAGTTGTAAACTATGAAAAACTGATTATCAGACTTGTCATTTACGACATACCTGTTGATTCTGGTAGGCGGTTACTGTTGTAAAAACGGTCTCTGGGAAAACAAAAGTCTTTTTCAATGCCGACGATCTTTCCATGTCTAAAGAGGTGGCCTCTGTGGGATCTTTCTTTTTTATGACATGAATTCTGGGTTGATATTTGTGCATCGAGTGTAGGATAATCTATAAAAACACAAAGAAAAGCAAATTCAAAGATTAACCTCTTGGTGAGATATCTAGGCTTCGATGGAACTCAAGGTCTTACTGAAATATCACTATGTTTATTCTCCATACGTATATTCTCTGTACATTTCCTATGACCAGGAGAATTTTCTTAACATTCAAGACCTTTTTAATTTGTTTATAATTATTTCCTTTTTCCTCTCGAACTTTATGATTGTCTGGATGCTGTAATTGCAAAGAAACATTAAGAAAGAACTAAATCGCGAGAGAACCCTTCTACGCGAGTAATAATAATAATAATACTAATAATAATAATAATCAAAAGAAGAAGATGTAGAAGAAGAAAAACAAGATGAAAAATAAAAAGATAAAGAGTATTTTTGAAAGAGGACCATGGTTTCAAAACCAGCACTTACTACTTTACACAGAAATGGAGGATAAATTTAACAATTTCAAATAGAGACATTTATTTTCGCGCCATTTTACCAGGAGGTGAAGGTTACTCACGTGTCCTTGTTGATCAAGCTCGTTATTGGTCAGTTTAACTTTATCGAATGAAACCACTTGTCTCATCCACTCCTCACCAAGCGCGGGAGAATCCGGGTGAATATAAACGCGTCCTGGCATCGGTGCGTCTGCATTTCCCGCCACGACCCACTTAGAGCTGTGGTATGCATATCTGTTTGAAAGAAAATCAGCAAATGAACATACAACGAGAAAAGGGAACCCTCAAAGCGAAAAACCTGACTTTACCAGGTATAAGTCGATACCTATTGCAGACCAAAATCCCGTTATTCTTTAGAAAGGTTTAAACAAAACTATGTCGTTCAAGCACCGAATTGGGGGAGGGGTGTGTTCCATCCTCGAGAGACTCATAAAGAGTGAGGTTATACACTAGGTTCGTTAGGGGATACCTGGAGCAGTTACGAGCAGTTTATTATTAAACTACTAAACATTTCAGCTATTAAGTTCTTTTTATCACTGAAGCAAAAGGATTTGAATTGCCTAGACAATAGTGTTTCAAATTTTAAGCATTCAGTTCCTGGTATAAATCATTAAAAACAACAAAAACAATCGCGTGAAGAGTCTGGTTCCTAAGGATGGAATTCTGGGACCAGTTACTAGTACATGTGGTAGAATTTGTTGTTATAACGATAAGGTGCCACGACTAATAAGTCTGATTACTAAATAGCCTGATGACTTTCTCCACCATGAAATCCCTTAAGTGAGACCAGTTTATAAACAAGCAAACAAGTACATAAATTGATTTCTATTTCTTAAGAGTTGTACTCTTCATGCAAGTGGCTATGATTGGCCGCTGCATGCCATGCGCAGTGCCGGCCGGCTGACCTGTAACGCTTGTTGTCCAACGGTACAACATCCATCATCAGCATGTAGCAGCTTTTGGGATCCAGTCCTGCTACCTTAACACGTATGGCGGGAAACATTCGCCTGTAAAGTTGAAAGCGAATAAATCAAACTTATGAAATAAGCTATAAGGAAAGCTTCTTGCAGGTTAGAAAGTAGACATTAGGAAAAGACGTTTCTAAGGGAAAGGGCTCTAAGAATTACTACTACTGGTTTAAACATAGAAAATACAAACATAGGTACGCCGATGAAAATTAGGGTAGCGAAAATTTCGCATACATACTGGAGGAAAAAGGCAATAAGTTAAGTATGACTTTAAGGTAATTAGTGACTGATAACTATGAGAAATGTGCTTCGTGATAAAAGATATTACTAATGAATAAAAAAGGCATCGGACGTCAAGCTTATGTTTCTTATGAAGAAATTCCTTCCGTGTTTATCTTGCAATGAGCAATGACGAAATACGGCATTGATTTTGTGCTAGAATACTCAGTCACACATTAACGTAATAGCGTTGAAAAAACTACTAGAAAATAGCTTAAAAGAAATGTTTCAGTCCTAAAGTTTCTACACTGTAGGCGAGCATTCGTTCGTCTTCATCAAATGCCCCTTAACCGCGCGAAGTGATATTATTAATCATGAGTTACTCTACTGTAAAAATTGCAACGATTTTCTTTGCCCCAGGTGTCTCCTACTGAAGGAACTGCATGGCCAAATAAGGCTCGCCGGGTAACTCTATACACGATGTCCATATAATGTAATTTTCCTTGTCCACTTGAAATGTCTTCTGCTGTGGCTATGCCGGCCATGACCTTTGTTATTTAATTAGAAAATGCTTTCCTGTTTGCCCACTTATTACGTTTTTCAGCTTCGTAGAACATAGTTGCCAACATATAGTTTTATTGTATTTTTACAGAAAAAGTAAAGACGGAAGTTAAGTAGATTAGGACTGGCTCTACTGTTTCAACTAACAGTTGATCAACAGTTTTGAGGTTATCTTTTCACATTTTGAAATAAGACAGCTTTTTTGAAGTGTGAAGTATTCCAATAGGAGTGCAGATCATGCCATTTAATCGTTTCTGCTGATAAAAGGGTGTAAAAATAGAAACGATGATTAATTTGCGTGTAACATTTAAAACAATAGAGCAAACCATTTTTCCTACGAAGATTTCGATACGATAAGTAATTTTCCTGAGTAATTTGGGAAGACCTGCGTTGCACTGGCTGCTTAAAAGAGTAATCTTATTTTTCTAACAGCGCAAACATGATTATCAAAAACCACGATTTGCATTGTTAATTTTTGTACTTTAGTTGTTACTTTAGTCGTCACTTTCTTACTAGTGAGTCCTCAGCCTACTATGGTCCACTATTTTAAAATCCCTTCTGCAACGTATCTACTCTTCTACACAGGGAAAAATATGGAAAATGAATTTATGCACAATTTACTCTTAATATAAACCAGTTAACTTGCTGATAATTCAAAAACGTACTTGATAAAGCAGGATAAAGTGGTCTCTTTTTGTTTATCATTCTATAATTCTTTTAAGAATTTCTGTGAGTGAATCCATAGCAAGCTGATGCATATTTTTCTCTTTTTGCCGATTTTTCGAGAAATTTATTTTGTGGTCTCGATTTTTTATAAGTAGGTTGACCATAAGCCTAGGCAGAAGTCATGAGAAGTTATTGTCACCCCATCGGAATGAGCAGTGAAGCACAAAAAATAATTTGTTGAAACGGAAAAGGTTATAGGTGCTTATCAATTGTTTAAATTGAGAAATCCCTGCAATTTCCGACCTAATCTCACAAGTGAAGAGTCAACAAATTATATTATTTCAATTCAGTATCATTTTTTTCAATACCAATAATTTTATTGCTATGGATTGAAGAACAACTTATGAACTTTACAGCCAGTCTTCACCAAACCAAACATCGACAAGAAAGTTCCGTGAATTAGTAAACGCCAACTCCGCCACGCTCATCAAAGTTCTTCAGAGATAAATGCCAGTAATACTGTGATTTAATGATGTTTGCTGCATTTTGCCCCCACGATTTGACACCGGCCTAGAAACAATGTCTTTTTAAATCCATATTTATTTCCTAAGATGCAAAAAATTAAAAAGCGGTTATCTTACCTGCCGGCTTTCGTTATGATCATTTCAGTGCCTAGTTCATAAAAGCGCTGCCAGAGATCTCTCATTTGCAGCTCGATAGTGATGTCTTCGCCCTCCAAAGTCTCTGTAGATTCAACGCTGTTTTGCATGGCTTGCATAGAATCTAAGGCGTCCGTTGCTAGATCTGATGATGAAGGAAAGACAATGAGGATCAATCATTTTATGTACAGTGGGTACAACTACAAAGGATTGACTATAAGTGTGCGTGTGTCTTGTGAGACCACCTAATTGTTTAGTTATCTAACCTTGGCAAGAACTATCAGGAGACCTTCTTTCACCTGACTCAGCCATGCTTGTTAGTGTTGTAGGTTGGTTTGTTTGCTCGGAGGAAATTAGCGATTCAACTGAAAAGGCGTTAGCACGAGAAGATAGATTTCCATTCGCTTGCGCTCCTACCGGATTCATGACAGCTAAGCTTTACAAGGATTTGTCAAACGCAGTTCACAGGGTCGGATTCGAAAGTGGCAATGACATTACAAGATGTGTCTAATTTATGACGGAGGATATCTCCTGATTATATCAATTAACCGTGATAATTAGATTTATTTTATACCACAGTCATCACTCTGTTCGGAAATACCAGCAAACACACCTATGACGAACAACATGTCCTTCATCAAAGAGCCGCAGTATTCACCCGTGGAGCGTAGGAATACGAGACCTTTATCGCCCGGTGGTTCTCCAATCAGCAAGCATTTTTCCCGCAGGAAATTTCCGGTGTTTACCGTAATTAGCCAGACAAAACAGACAGCCGAGAACATTCCTTGAGCGATGACGAGTCCCGTATTTTACTGTTTTAGCTCAGCAATGGATCGACAGCTGGCAAAGCGATAATTTGAAAACATCAGCTGATTTTACGACAAATTATCTACGTTTTAACATAAAGTTTTATTCAGTTTACGGAAACTTATAGTAACAAGGAGAAAAGTAGTTATGCAATGCGAGTTATTTTTCCCTATTTTATAATGACCTGCAAGTCTGAGGTGCTCGGGACGATGCTCGCACTGTGTATTAAGACTATAAATGCTTTTCCAGATGACTTCTATTGTGCGTCAGGTTTCTATGAAAAATCGAAAGCGGGTACAGCATTTTAAAAAATTATTATGCGATGCGGACAATGTAGCAGTGATTGCACTTTAGGAAAAAAACCAGTGTTGCCGGATTTTCGATCTGTTAACCTGGAGTTATGATTCTTACCCTTGGCGGTATGTTTTGTCGGCAAGTTGTACGATTGAAGTCATTAATCGATGGTTTGTTTGATTTGGTTGGCGCAGGAGTGATAATCGATGGTATAATGGTTTGTCGTGAGGAAAACAGGGTGTCAAATTGTTGACGGACTCGATCTATCGGTGCAAAAACCTCTTTTCAACACGCTCTTACCGTTTTGTCCGCTCTCAAAATATTGTTACAGGGAAACAAGTGGCTTAAAAAACATTCGAGACCTCTTAGACAAACTCACTGTTGGCGATGTTTTGGGACGAAATGGGGGATCATGCAGATGTTCCTTGTCCAGTTATGGAATCTTTAAGCCATATGTTTTTTGGACAGTTGGACAGACGTTAGGAATGTATAACAAAGAGACTCTTGCCGATGAATCGAATGAAAAAAATAGTGGAGAGTTTAGACAGCTTCACATTTCGCCCAATACTCTTCAATCAAAATCTGACAAAATGTGCAGTAGAAGCTTTCACGAAACATATTTTGTGATTAGGAACTTTCTGTTAAAATATCCACTGAGTTTGTCTACCCTCTTCGACTAGTCGTCTTCTTCTCTTTTTTGTAGCCGTGATGAAAAAGCGCAGTAGCCATAAGTGCTCATTCTTCTGAGCTCGCTCTTGAAACGGATTGCGATGTGAGATTTGCCTGCGTCCTAACTGGTGTCTCTCAAGCTCAAATTGAAAATATCTCGATTCTTGTCAGTCCAAGTGCCTCTCGTGAATAGCGTCGCTATTTATCACAGAATGCAAAAAGATCTCCTCGCCTGGCTTAACGGAGAAACAATTATGTGTGTCACAGTCTTTGCTGGGTAGGTTACCATACGGTTTTTTAAATGATTGGAGATCAATGGAGGTTGCCGAGCTGCATTACTTTCTAGTTATCTAATATGTCCTTCGGGTTACGTGAAAAACATCTGTTAGATTTTAAAAAATTTATAGTTAACTTCGTAACAGATAAATCTTTCTTTTTTCAGTATCACTTTTTGAGCTCATTAGAAATATAGAGTTTTTTATTCAGCCTTTAATGGACTGTTTTCGCGAGGATAATCACTTTCTATGATATACAGATTAGTCTGTCGGCAAAACATCGCCCTCAAAACTGAGTCAAAGTACTTTTTTCCTGACGCGGTTTCAGTTCGAAAAAGGGTCCGCCGACAAGACAAACCATAAAAACCGCATGCAGTGAAGGTTAAAGAATATGTTACAATTTGGCTACAAATATTGCGCTTTGTTTAGATCTTGTTATTCAAAATTCTTTGTTGATTATAGAGTTCCACAAAGACAACCACGTATTTAAAAACGTTTTGTTCACGTAATTAAGTTGTTGTAAGTCAGGAGCCAAGACTGAGATAAACCCTCTAAATACCCCTGAAAAAAAAAACGGCAAAGAGAAATCTCCTGATCGCAGGTTATCACAAGTCCAGGACCTAAAACGTAAGCGATTTTTAGAGGTGAGAGCCCTTTTGTTTTGATTTTTTACACATTAGGGGAAACATAGAACTTAAAATGTCTCTTTCAACTCAGTTGACGACCCTCAAAAGTTTAATGGGAGAAATTAAATTCCACGTTCAGGATCATTTTTATGCCAACGAAAACAGAATTTAAAAGCGAGCCAAAAAAACGTGAAGTTCACGGTAAGTTTCATTTTAGCTAAATGACCGTTTCACAGCGCAATTAGTCTATAACTAGGTTTTGAACGATTTTCCTGACTTGTAACCCAAAGGCCGTACACTATTCATTTGACGATCGCTCAGTTTCCACTGATTATTTAGCGGTTACCGAAAAGAGGATTTGTAGATTATCCTTGCGGAGAATAAACATGGCCCCTCTCACGGACCGCAGATTATCATTGAGTTTTACTTTATCAGTTTTTGTTGTCAGCGAACTCCGAGGACTGCTGAGTCAAAAACGTAAACCTACCGCACACTGTATTGATTCTGCAGCAACCAATCCACGCGGCCGTGCAAGCAGTAACCATAATAATACGTCATCTATAGAGTCATTATGATGAATTTGACATCTGCGAATTACGCCTGCAGTACGGCTTCAGGGGAGTTATTGACTGATGAGGCTTTCAGCCCGCGGTACTTTTTATTAGAGGCATAATGCCATCCTTGGCTAACGAGATATCAGCTAAGAACTATACAATATTACTACAATATTAATTTCATGCAATTCAGTAATGAATATGTCGTTTAAAGATTCTCATTACACTGCATTTAAGTGATGTCGTTGTGATTCGTTTCACTGTCGTTTGCTCTCTCAATTCAGCTATCCATTTATCCATTTATATTTCAAAAGCATTCGAACCGTAGGCAGGATTCCTCTCCTGACTTTTACTGATTCTTGAGTGCCGTTAAGGAAATGATTCGTTTATGGCCGGCATGCTTGCAGGGTTTGGCTTCTAATAGAACTACAGTGTATAGAGGGAGGGTGTGATCAGAGCGGGCAAAGTTCCGCTCTGCGTTTTAACGTCACTCATACATACAGTAGGTTATAAGAAAAAGGCAACCATAGGCTGATGTGCACCTAAGATAACATGTCGATTCTCTGTATGGTTTCCTGCTTTTAGCAGTAACTGAAATCGGAATTCTCTGATATTGAGAGTATTATGCGACCATCAGCAGAAGCAACAGCTGGTAGCCAGCAACAGAAGAAAATCGAGCACGATTTTCAAACAAAGACTTTTTTTTATATAATATAACACCCTCCTTATTTACGAGTTGTGATTCTGTTAAAGTGTTTTCTTAATAGAGCGATTTTATTATTATTTCATTATGAAGCTCGAGATAGATAGATAGATAGATAGATAGATAGATAAATAGATAGATAGAGGATAGATAGATAGATAGATAGATAGATAGATAGATAGATAGATAGATAGATAGATAGTTTATTCTGATTAAAATCGCAGCCAAAAGCTGAATTAGATTAATCGTTACAATAATAAAATCTAATAAAAATATGAGAAAAAGTATAAGAAAAATGTACACATATAGCTAATAATTTAATTACAGTTGCTATATATAAATGTGTTCTTAAGTCTCTTCGTCTTAGCCAGAGGGACATTAAAATTCCTCTTTCGTCTTAAATTGGATTCACAATTGTTACGAGGTGGCATGAGCTCATGCAGTTTATAGTCTGAGTTACAAGTGATGGAATCAAATAGCTTAGTTGTGATAGACTGCCTGCGTCGAGAGAGCGTCTCCAAGTTGGCTTGATGTAATGCGTCGCTATATGGTACAAACGGAAAAATAATTCGCATGGTGCGCTTCTGTAGCTGTTCTAGCTCTGCGGATAAATATGCGGGAAGCGCGTTGTGAAACACCAGGCATGCGTATTCCGTTACTGGGCGGATACAGGTGCGGCATTTGGAACATGACTGACAGGTCTCTCATGTCCCTTTCCCGAAGGAAGACGCTCGGAACGAGCTTAAGGCGCAACGATAGAAAAAAAAACTATATACAAAATAAGGCTTCTTCAACTTTATTCCTAAAAAAAAAGGAAACGTAAGAACCACGACGACCGGAAGTGAGTTACAGTGTACGGCGCAAGCGCAACCAGTAAATTTCGTCGTCTTGGTCTCGTCGACGACGCCAAACAAAGTAGAATCACGTCGTCCTGCAATCCACAAGCTTCGGCATGTATAAATCCACTGTTTTAAGCGATTTGTGAAGTCCTTTGCATTTTCTTTTCCTCGTAAATCCAGGAATCGTTGCACTTCCTTTTTTTCCCTAACAAGCGATGTTGATTGAAAATTCCACTGATGAGTTGATTTTACTTCGAAGAATGACAACTGCTGTGGAGGCCCTAGCGAGCGAACTCGTAAGTGATAAATTTATTTATACGTATTTAGGTAAGGCAAATCATATATCTTTAATATAGAGGAAATAAACTTTATATGGAAACAGCTATCACATCAGAATGTCTCTTTTTCGAAATCTAAACTCTGACAGACACTCGGACTTGATCACCTCATTCAAGTTGAAAGTTGAATAATTTCGTACGGAAAGTAGGTCTTTTTTGTCCACTCGAAAAGGTCAGACAACACTGAAAATATTCTTCATCGTCAACGCACGGCTTAACAAATAAGATCTGGCATTGTTTTAAAAGACGACATTGCAAAAAACTTTGTTGCGAACGAACATCACAGTTTTACAATTGTGTTTACATTCAGTGTCGTCGTCGTCGACCTACCGACCGACTGCATCTCAAGTTTCCTTTTTCCCGCTGAAACTGACGTTCTCGTTCCAGTCTTTTCCCAGTAAACAGACGTCGTCGTCGTGAACTTCTTCGTGGTTCTTAAGTCCTCTGATGTCAAGGTCACTACGACGCAGTCCATAAAATAGTACAGACAGTACTCGGGAGTGAATGAAACTGGCTTAAACATGTTACTCGTATGGCTGCTTTACTAAAAAAGATTAAAACAATCCAAAGAACAACCGTTAAATTCACCATAAGAAGTAAATAATTTGAATTGTTACTCAACTTTTGTCCCTTTTCTTTACATGGTGACTCGGTTTTCGAATTTCTGTTGGCTCGTTCCAAGAACATTTGTTACCCTCATCCTAACTGATTGTCAAAAGACATTGAGCCCCGTGTCACGAGATTTAGCTAAGTGTTCCTCGGCCACGAATGACGCAGCTGCGCAGGCGTAGAAACCTTTTGCAGATTTTTGGCAATCTAGTCACCAGAGCTTCTCATCCTTTGGCGGAGAGGCATGACCAACAAAACTCAGCAGGTTTCAGTGTACTTTGGCATTTGTTCTGTTCATTCAATCAGCCTCAATTTGCTCACTTCAAAAGTAAGGGGGTGGTCTATATCTAAGAACTTTAGATGTAGACATATAAAACTTTGCCAGCTGCACACATTTTTAGTTTGTGTCAATTTCATGCTTTAAAATTACGCAAATCAGGTCACGTGTCCTACATCGGCTGAAAAAGCTTCTTCTTGAAACTGCAACACTTTTTCGTGTGTCCTCAATTATTTTACCGGTTCCATAATGTTAAGGCCGTTTAATATATCACTTCTATGCTTTTTTTTTTAGATATTTAAAAGCGAATGCGTTCAGATGGGATAATATTGCCTTAGGGGACTGGGTCTAGTTGAAAAAACCGTTTATTTTCTAAAACAGTAAAAAATTCAAAAAAGGCCAAGCACAGTTTTGTAGATGCTTGCATTACACTTTGTCCTTAACCAGTCCGGTTTAATAACTCACGACAAAAAGTGTTGCCATTTCTGTTTAAAGACTTTTTATTGTTTTCTGGCCTTGTGGAGTCACGTGACAACATTTGCATAATAGAAAAACACTAAATTGACAGAAACCACACATGTTTGTATCTGGCAAAGTCTTAGATAGATGAGACTTTGAATTTACCTGAGAAGGAGCCGAGACTATCTGTCTGAAAAGTAAAACGCCTTAACGTGACTCCAAGGGGTTTTGGGGGGTAAGAAATATCAAGAGCTTTAGTTGTCGTTTCAGAAGACACGTGTACTGTGGATTTTACAAATTGTGTGATACAATATAATTCAATAAAAACAATTACAATACTAATCGAGAGAAATGTGCTCAAACACTTCCCTGCTAGAAGTTAGACTCAAACTGAAGATCTTTATCTGCTCAGTAATTTTAGAAGCAAGTAACTTCTGGTAAACGTCTGGTAAAATTCACGTGCACATACCGTTTGTAATGTCATTATGTGGTCGATTTAATAACATTTTTGACTCGTGTAATTTACGATGGTAACCAATTGATTTCAATCACTAATATGTCTTGCAAAGCACTAGTTTTATATATTATGTCTATGTGCGATGAAAACTGTATCATAAATCTTAGTGCCTCTTATGTTGAAATATTCTAAATTGTTATAAATCCGAACTCTAATTTAACTTTTTTGACATACGAGTAGCGTGGAAGCCGTACATAGCCAAGTAAATTTTTTTTTTTATGTTAATGTTCAATATATAGTTCATGTTTGTTCCTTTCTCTCTTACTTAACCAAGAGCCATAATAGTGTCCTATTATGGCTCTTGACTTAATAGTCTATAACTTTTATTTTGATTTGTTTCATTTGTTGTTATATTGATTGTTTTGGTACTGAAATCCTAATGTCGAGGATAAAGTCAATAAAGTTGTTGTAGTCGTAAATAATCCTTTCATGACCGACACGAGAAAGCCGGCCATATGGAAAAATGTTTATAGGACATCCATGCACTTATTGCTTTTAATCAAACACTTTCTGTCGAATCATATCTGCCAGATCTTACCAGCAAGTATCGGCGTGGCGATGAAATGAAGCTATTTTTTTTTCTGAAATAGTTTTGAACGCACATATTCCGATAAATATTTTTCTCCGGTTGCAGTTTTGCTTTACTTAAATGTTGTTCTTAATTACCAAAGTGAAGGTTTTATTGAGACCTTTGTTGCCAAACAGCAAAAGAATAGAGATAAAAAGTATTCATTGTGACTAACTGACCAGGTAGGCCGCTCTGCACGCGAAGCCCTACACGCAAAGAAAGATAAAGCAAGGATGACTGATGTGTAAAAGGTACTAAATTTTATTGGAAAATAAAATATATTTGTAATAAACAAGCTAACCCCAGTTAAAAGTGATTATTTTAAGTAAACTGACACAAAACCCAAACTCATTAATTTCTAGTACAAAAGATGATGTAAATAGATTGTCCACGGAAAACAATTCACTGTTGATGTATTTTTCTCCGCGCTAAGGTATTTTTGAACATAAAAGGGAAGCGACAATTTCTTGGTTTTGATTTCAAAGGCACTAAACAAACATTGCATCGTTATCAACGCCCTTGAGACAGGCTTCATTTCTTATGAGAACGATTTAGGAGATTAAAAGATTAGCACAGTTATGGATTTTCGTTTAAAGTGTGTTATATTAAATTGTCATAGCACCTGTACAGTACATGTTGTAACTAAAGGCTCCTGACCAGAGTGATAATAAGCTATGAGTTATCACCGCAGAACATTCCGTTTTATCAAACTTGAAAAATCGGGCGATTTTGCATCGCGGAAGAACGTTATGGAAGACAAAGTGCTGGACAATAAAATAAAAGTTTTGGAGAAAGAGGAGAAATGTATCCGTCAAAAACTGTTTGAGATTCGTAGAGAAAAGTACTCGCGAAATTTCTACAAAAACCCAGAGAGAGCCAGCTCTTCAAAGTTTGTAGACATAAATGTTAGCGAGAACAACGAAACTAATCAAGAGAAAAACAAGTGTAACTTACTGACCGCCTCTGGTGTGGAGCGAACCAAAAGCTCTTTTAGAAGACAATCTTGTTCAGTGGAGGAGCACAATCCTGGACAAGTGGTTCGTGTTTGTGTGTCGTCAAAATTCGAAGACAAAGTGACAGGAGACGAAAGTCCTTTTTCGGGCGGCGCCTTTTCTTCAATCGATAAATCGAAAAAAAGAAATCGAAGGCATTCCGTAGCTGTCGTGACTGACATCGATCGACGAAAGGTGCTAGATTTGTTTAAATCAGAGCAAACAGGGGACCAGTCAATTTCATCAGGTGTCTCCTTTGCGGAACAAGCCAGCAAAGACGATCTATACTTTGGTTGTAAGTATCAAGAAAATTGTTCTGACTCAATGTTTCTTTTTGATATCTCGCTGGACAGGGATAGAGATGGCTGTTCTACCCTAGTAAGCGACTTGATGTCGCAACGAAACCTATCACAAGTAAATTTTAGTGGAGAAGTTACCTGTTGTGACAAACAGGAACAGAAAAGTCACTTTGCGAAACAAGTCGTATCAGCGAAAAATCCTTCGATTTTGAAGTCAGATGCAGACAGAAAAGACATTCCACAGAGCGTTAAAGTGATCACCCCTAGAAGAAGAACTATGTCACAGCCCACCAGACCTCAGAGCAGCCGAACTTACAGCGACAGTTGTGTCGGAGAAAAACCTACTTACCGAAAATGTTCTACCCCAGGACCAATTATGTCAAAAAAGCATTCAAGAGTAGCATTCGTGGAACCAGATGTCGCTACAATAGCTTTGCCTAAATTAGCCAAACTCACCCCAAATATGACACGAAATCGTGCTATGGGGCTTAAACGACGACCACGGAGTCTTCCAGAAATGCCGTCGCAATCTCATCAAGGATCCGTGCTTACAGAAAAGGAAGAAAAAATGGCTGAGCAAGTTCTCATCAGGCAAATTGAAATCCAAGCATCAGCTGAAAAAAT